CTGAGACGTGGTCCTTCACTGCTGGCCGTATGAGGAAGCTCAAGGTCGCTCAGCGAGCTATGGAGAGGGCTATGCGGAGTTTCTCGGAGTTTCTCTGCGTGATAAACTTATAAATGAGGATATCCGCAGTAGAACCAGAGTGACCGACAAAGCCTAACGGATTAGTAAGCTGAAGTGGCAGTGGGCCGGCCATATAGCTCGAAGAACCGACAACCGATGGGGAAGAAAGGTTCTTGAGTGGCAGCCTCGTACCGGTAGGCGAAGTGTAGGGCAACCCCCCACGAGATTGAGTGACGACCTGGTAAGACATGCAGGAAGTCGATGGATGCAGGTAGCTCAGGACCGTGCTTTGTGGCATTCCTTGGGGAAGGCCTATGTTCAGCAGTGGACTTATGAAAGGCTGTAGTGATGATGAATGATGATGAATAATTATGCAAGGATTAAATATGATTTTTATTAATTCAATGTCAGAATTAGGTGGTTCATCATCTTCTGTGAACTCTTCATCAGAGCGAGAAGGAAATTCTTCTTCTTCGGATTTTTCTGCTGTGAATAAATGAATATAATAATAAAACGAATGCTGCAATTATAAAAGAAAATATATTTAAGCTCATCTGCAGTAACATTTTCGACAGTTTTATTATTTTTTTTTATTATATTATTAAAATTCTTAATAAATAAATTCTTATTATATTAATAAAAATCTCTACTCTGTGCGAATTCGTTTGACTATAGACAATTATCTGTTTGACAATTGACATTGGCATTATGAACGTAAATGTTTTATTTTATTTTATTTAATGTATTTTTGTAACATATTATTTATAAATTTTAGCTTTCTGCACTCCTCGTATAAACTATAAATATTTTTAAAGTTAAAAGTTTTCTTTTCACGTATTATTAATATAGGTATTATAGAAAACGTCGTAAAATGACCAGACCTGCAATGGGGAGCAGCGTTATAGTCGCGATACATAGTACCTACTATTCCACCTAACAAGCGTGATAATTATGGCAAATTTTGCCCACACGAGGGAGGCCCGTGGCCAGTAGTGAATTTTACGGGCTGATGAAGATGAAGCAGGAATGTACTGGGAAATTTAACCTTTTCTTATGTATGTACATTTGCAAAAGTACAATCACGTACTGTGAAGTTTATGGCGAGTCGTTAGCCTTACATTCAAAATAATATGTCTTATAGACAAATAAATAAATTTTTGATGTGATTGAATGCTTAAATATTCATTATATTTCCGGAGATCACTTTTAGCTGAACGGAACTTATCCAAAGACGAAAACGACTATCGTTAATTAATAACATTACTCAGAAATCGTCTCTCGCAAGAACATTATCTAATCTCCCCCTGTTTCCTCTTAACTACTTTAAACGAGCGAGACTTTTACTGCGGGTACTAAAAGGGATCACCTAAAATTTTTATTGACATTATTCATATTTTCAATGTCCATTACATTGGGATATAATGTTTAGTGAACGGTTGTCATGATACGTAAATTTAAAATTCAGCAATTAGTAGCTAGAAAATATCGTCATCATCCTTACACAACAAATAGACGTCACCAAGGAAAGCCACAAAACATGCCCTGGACTGTGGTGTAGGTCGTCACTTCATTCTAGTGGGTTGCCCGCCCTACGCTTTGCCTACCGGTACGAGGTTGCCATTATATGGCCGGCCCGTTGCCTTTTCAGCTTATACTTGAGCTTATTATTATACAAAAATATTTCATATAGCAAATGGTAGTCCATAGCTACTAGCATTGTCTATAATATTTCATATAGCAACACTGGATCTGTTCGCTTCCGCTGTAAGTTTTTTCTTAACCGTGTTCATTTTAATGTGCTAAAATATAAAAGAAATTTTCTCTAATTTCACCCCTTTATTAAATCAATGACTATCACAAACCTGAACAAACAATATGATTATTACTACAAAACCCAAAAACGCCCGACTCCAAACATTAGCGTGTTTAAACAAAACAAAAAAAAAAACTCCTCCGCTTTATTATATTAATATATAGATTTAAACAAAAAAATCTACCAAGTAGCTATTTGATGTGGGTAAAATCATATATATATATATATATATATATATATATATATATATATATATATATATAAAGGTCGAGATATTATATGAGAGAGACATTTCTAAAGAAAGCTTTAAAAATATTAGCAACATGAATAAGAACATAATGTTCACACACGTTTTTATTTAATACCCAAGAGGAATGCCATCACGGTAAGCAATCGATGCTACAAAGGATACCGCCACTTTAGTAAAAAAGTGTCAGTGTTTTAACGGCACAAAAACATTCGCCTGCTAAATATATCATTACTAAGATAAGTAAGATTTTTGTTATAACCAATGCAGCAAATAAACACACGTTGAGAGTTTTTAATTAAAATATTTTAAGTTCAGAGGATGCTATGATTTTGCAATCAATATAATTGATAAATGTTTTCTATTTTTTTATTTTTAGATTTAAATTGACATTTTTACTTTAGATTGACAGAGGGCGCTGTCCATGTAAACATTAGCTCTTTATTTTAATTTATTTAAAAAAATTGTAAACAATAATTTTGTAATCAAAAGTTACAATAAAAGTGATAAGTAAACAGCAGGTAATGTGTGACAGTGTTTGTGAAAAAAATTCGGAGAAATTAGTTAAAATATCTATAGTGAAATAATTAACAATGTAGTCATTTTAAACTGTGATAAGAAGAAATTATTATAGTAAATACTCTTTGAACAATTTACCAATAAACGAAAAGTTAATAAATATGTTAAAACTGGAAGTGAATAGTGCATAGTTTTTGAATTATTGGTTTTTGTCGAAAGCTAAGAAATGAACTTTGTACCCTAATTGTTTAAATAGCTCGTAAATTACACGTAAGGCCAACTAGTGTGAAATAGCGTATACCTCTATAGCAAATCGATTCAGATCAGGGATTCCTATTATCTCACGTATAAACTCGCAAACTAGGTAGCGCCATCTAGTGTAGAAAAGCTGGGGGATTTCTAAAAGTCGTTACCGTCAACAAACAGGATTTAGGAAAGTAGCTCACAATTGCTTTAAATCCTATCTTCATAACCGCTCCAATATGTAAAAATTGAAAATACCGTCTCCGAGACTGGCAAAATTACTCATGTTAGATCGGATGCAACTGTTATTACTGGTTCTATCCCACAAGGTAGCGTTTTGGGATGTATTTTGTTTCTTGTTTACATAAATAATCTCCCAAACATACTGAACGATCTATGTGTGCTCTTTGCCGATGACATCTCAATTCTTAATCTCTTGCACTAATTCCACGGATTTAGCAACAAAATTGAACTATACATTAGATAAAATTCCTATCTAGCTAGAATTACATAATCTACATCTTAACCTTAATTATAAAACAACGTAATATCTCAATTTAAACCCTATCAAAAAACTGCTTTACAAATATCTTATAGCTATAAAAACACAAAAACTAGAAACTGTTAACTCTGTTATTTTGTTAGGAATACACCTGGCTAAGCACTTCAGTTGGAAACAGAATATATAAAAAGTTGTAAAAAAATATCGTCCTTTATTTAGGCTTTACAACACCTTAAACATGTGACAGATTTAAGACTGTCCTCGCGGCTTACTATGCACATGCTGATTCGGTACTCTCCTATGGCATCATATTGTGGCCAAACTCTTGGGATGTAAACAAATTATTTAAATTACAAAAGAAGTGTCTACGAATATTAACGAATTTAGACCAAATGGAATCATCTAAACCTCACTTCATTAAACATAAAATACTAACACTTATGTCTATGTATATACTCGAGTCTTGTAAATTCGTCAGGAAACACCCAAAATTCTACTCACCCATTACAAGAACTAAAAAAAATTATAGAAAAATTTATATACGCTCAGAACACCCCTCTCCAAATTAAAATTAGTTTCGACTAGCCCCGACGTTATGTCAATAAAGATTTATAACCATTTATCGAATTCTATAAAAATCCTAGAAAACCCTGCGCAATTCGATAAACAATTAAAAACATTCCTTATTAGAAAATGTTATTATAATTTCAATGAATTTTTTGACGATAAATAATGACAAAGAAAGAATACTTCGAATACATTGTATTTCTGATTTAAGTAATTTATAAAGAATAATATTGAATGTTGATGATATGATATTTTATAATTTATGTTCAAAAGTTAGATTATACAAAAAAAGTTAGTCCTCTAGTGTTGCTATGCCCTTGCGGGGCGTCACATGTATACCTATCAAATGTAACATCTTAAATTTGTAATGTGACATGCAATTAACAATTTGAATTTGAATTATATTTATAAGTAGCTCAGATTTATCCCGTGCTCGACGGTGAAAGAAAACATGGTAAAGAAACCTTCATGTCTCTATAATCCTGTCCTGTGCAGATGGCAAGTCTCCGTTGAGATTGGCCGCTGTGACCGAAATTAGGTTTGGAGGACATAATAAATTATTATTACAGGTTATTTGTTGAAAACAAAAAAATTTTTTTTAGAAAATACTTTAAGTCGTCCAACAAGCATTGGCTTCATTACATTCATAGGGTGATTTACATTTACTATTTACTAACTGTCTGTGGCATAGAATTCAATTTAGCGTACGCATGTCTTAGAAGTGAATGTCTTAGGATGTTATACCCATATTATCATTTGTGCACATTATTATAGACAGTTGCAAATAAAACGCATTCAAGAGAGGACGTATTTCATTACTCTATTTAAACCCCAATCAAAAAACAACTCTATTACAAGTACATAGTGGTCACAATCGAGCCGGATAAGTAAGGAGCTAACATCGTCGTAAACAGCTTTTGTTCATCGTCCCGAGTCTCGGACGCTTACCTGCGCTAATAAAGAACAACAAGTAATATAAAAGTGAATAACAACGAACATTGCAGTGATATTTTGTGAAGCTTAATTATATCTTTTGTGAGTAATTTATAATGTCAAAAGTGGAAGAAATAATCGAACAATTAGAAGAATATTATAATCAAATTAACAAAACTCAGATTAATCTTAAAAAATGTCCTAAAACAAGAATAACACAGGGATATTTAGAAGTAAAGATTCAATGCATTGAAGAGTATTGGGTATCATATCGTGCGGCGCATCAAAACTTATTGAAACTAACATCGAAGAACGATAGACAAAAAATATCTCATTTTGTAAATAGCGAGTATGACAAGTGTGAAGAAGTGTTTACTTGTTTGAAAGGGGATATGGTGGACATGTTAAATGATATCAAAAACAATACTGGGAATAATACAAACCCTTCAACTTCGCCGATGTGTGAAAAACCCGTTGTTGACGTAAAGCTGCCCCGAATAAATCTACCTACCTTTTTCGGTGCATATGAAGAATGGCAATCATTTGAGGACACTTTTATATCATTAATAGACAGAAATAATAGCCTTAGTGACGTACAGAAATTACATTATTTGAAGTCGTGTGTAGCAGGCGAAGCTAAAAATACTATAAACCATTTTCAAGTGACGGATAAAAATTACGAACCAGCGTGGAAAGCCTTAAAGAATAGATATAGTCATAAGCGACTAATAGTAAATGCAATATTAAAGAAATTATTTTCTTTGAAGAAAATAAATACGCAATCACCAGCTCATTTAAAAGTTTTAATTGATAATACAAAAGAATCTATTAACAGCTTGAATAATTTAGATATTAAGACAGATTCCTGGGATCCGTTATTAATATATATATCAATCCTAAAACTAGATCAAGAGTCACACAGAGATTGGGAAACTTATGTAAGCAGTGGACATCCAAAGGATATGCCAACATTTGATAATTTCGTAAGTTTTTTGGAAAATAGAATTCATACACTTGAATTAACATCCACGTCAAGGGAGAAGGTTCAAAGGTCGTATCACATCAGCGCCGCTGCTACTACTGTTCAATGTGTTCTATGCAATGAAAACCATTTCTTATGTCACTGCAAAAAATTTGGCAAATTAGATCCTGAAAAAAGAAGTGAGTATGTAAAAGAAAAGCGTTTGTGTTACAACTGCTTGTCAACTGGTCATCCAGGATATTACTGCAAGCAAAAAACATCATGTCGTGTATGTGGTAAACGTCACCATTCACTTCTACATTCTTACAAGAAGAAAGAGGTGACCTTTGATAAAGAAGAAAACAAACATTCACCAGGGTTAAACTCTTTACACACAAATGTAGAAGAAACTGAGAAGGAAGAATCGGATGTATCAATAGCTTCACACTTTACGTCCAATACTAAAAATGTTTTACTGGCTACCGCTTTAATACCGATTAAAAGTGACACAGGATATGTCACTATGTTGAGAGTACTAATTGATCCAGGTTCGCAGGCGTCTTTCATTAGTGAGAGAGCAATACAACTTTTGCAACTCAAAAGAAAAAGGGTACATGGCACTATTTATGGAGTTGGTTCTACCAAAACATCAATAAGTCATGTGGTGTGTTTTGAAGTATTATCAAACTACGAAAACCAATTTAAACTCAATGTTAAAGCGTACGTTTTGTCTACACCATTGACTACAAAGCTACCTTGTAAGACAATAGAACCGATGAACAATTGGACACATTTAAAAGAACTTACTTTAGCTGATCCTCATTTTGCCACACCAGGAAGAATCGATGCGCTGTTAGGAGTTGAAGTATATACAGAAATATTAAAAGGCAATGTTATCAAGGGTCCACCAGGTACTCCAAGTGCACAAGAAACCAGCTTCGGATGGATACTATTTGGAGAAATATCAAATACTTCATCTTCTGAAGACATCATAGTAATGCATCATCATGTTGACGTAGATAACATGTTAAGAAATATGTGGGATATAGAGACTACAGAAAAAAGAAATTTCACAGCCGAAGAAAGATTATGTGAAAACATTTACGCTGCCACACATTCAAGAACAACAGATGGTCGATATATGGTTAAACTACCATTTAAAAATGTTAATTACTTAGAAGAAATAGGAGAAACAAAAGAAATTGCACTTAAAAGATTTTATTTACTAGAAAGAAGGCTAAATCTAAACAAGACGCTCAAACAAGATTATATAAGAGTAATTGAAGAATACATTAAGTTAGGATATATAGAAGAAATACCACATAAGGAAAGAAATGATCCATCAATATACCTTTCACATCATGCAGTGATAAGAGAAGACAAAGAAACAACACAATGCAGAGTAGTGTTTGATGCATCTTGCAAAGGAGCGAACAATAAATCACTGAATGATGAATTACTCGTTGGTCCACAATTACAAGAAGATTTAAGAAGTTTGATAATCAGATGGCGTATGAAGCCAGTATGTTTTATAGCCGATATCCAAAAAATGTATTTACAAATCCTAGTGACGAAAGAAGATACCGATTGTCAAAGAATATTTTGGAGAAAAAGTAACAAAGAAGAACTAAAAATATATCGTTTAAAAAGAGTAACATTTGGGACTTCATCTGCGCCTTATCTTGCAGTTAGGATGCTTGTGCAGCTCTCAAAAGATGAAGAAAAAAATTATCCAGAAGCAGCTAAAGTAATAAGAGAAGATTTTTATGTAGACGATTGTATGAGCGGTGCGATGACAGAACAGGATTGCATTAAACTTGGTCAGCAGCTTCAAGCTATACTCAAAAAAGGAGGATTTAAATTACATAAATTCGCATCCAATAATAAAAACTTCTTAAGTCAAATCAATTCGGAATTGAGAAGTTCTAAGGCCAGTATTAATATAAAAAGCGACAGCACCATTAAAGCACTCGGTCTAGCATGGAACATGAGTATGGACACTTTTCATTATCAGCTCAATTTGCCGCCGATACCAAAAGAAATAACCAAAAGGAATATCTTGGCAGACATTCAACGCCTTTTTGATCCGTTAGGTTGGCTTGGTGCAAGCATAATTCCAGCAAAAATTTTAATACAAAAACTATGGCTAAAAAACCTTGATTGGGATGATAAAATAGATGAAGATTTAGAGAAAGAGTGGTTAATATTGAGAAAAAGTTTTAAACAAATAAAAAACGTGGAAATTCCCAGATGGATAGACACAGAATGTGAAGACAGCAAAAACGTAACCCTTCATGGTTTTTGTGATGCTTCAAATAAAGCCTATTGCGCAGTAGTATATTGCAGAATAGCAAATAATAAAGGAGAAATTAAAACGAATATTATTGCCTCGAGAACACGAGTCGCCCCTGTAAAACCACTTTCATTACCTAGGCTTGAGCTTTGTGGGGCAGTTATTTTGGCAAGGTTGTTAACACACATAAGAGAAGCTATGAGATTATCACCTACCAAAGTGTTTGCTTGGACGGATTCGTCGGTTGTACTCTCATGGTTGTTCGGAGATCCGAACCGTTGGAAACCGTTCGTTAGTAACAGAGTAGTTGAAATATTAGACAATCTTTGCAATACTCAATGGTTTCATGTAAAAACGAATGATAATCCAGCAGATATTGGATCAAGAGGAATGAATTTACAACAACTTATTCAATGTAAACAGTGGTGGGAAGGACCTGCTTGGCTGAAGGAGAAAAACATAGAATACTCAAGACCAAATTTGATACCGACTGATATAGAAAGAAAAAAAAATATTCAGGTGAATTTAAAAACAGAAACAAAGAAACAGAGAATTAAATTAGAAAATTTTGATTCACTACAAGAACTCTTAAAAGTTGTAGTTTATTGTTCAAGATTTATTAATAGTAAGAAACAACCTGACGAAATAAGAAAGAATATTACAACTGAAGAATATGAAAATGCTTTATTAAAATGTGTAAGAATTGTTCAGAAAAGAGAATACGAAGAAGATATAAAAAATATACGAATGAAAGGAAGAGTAAAAAAAGGAAGTAGTTTGAAATCATTAAACCCTTTTCTTGATACTCAAAATATACTTAGGGTGGGCGGAAGACTCCAAAGATCGGAATTAACACAAGAACAAAAACATCCAATCATACTGAGCTCAAGCAATCATTTGACTTCTTTGTTAATAGCAGATGCACACAAGAAAACCCTACACGGTGGTATTCAACTCATGCTCTGCTATCTTAGGAATAGATTCTGGATCATTCGAGCTAAGAATGCGATTAAATTTTATATACGAAAATGTATAGTATGTGCAAGACAAAGGGCTGCCATAAGGACTCAAATCATGGGTGAACTTCCAAAGGCACGAGTGACTCCAGCCCGACCGTTTCTCCACAGCGGAGTGGACTTTGCTGGTCCATTGCAAATTTTGCTTTCTAAGGGGAGAGGCGCCAAGACAAGCAAAGCATACATCGCCATTTTTGTATGCATGGCCACTAAAGCCATACATTTAGAATTAGTCGGAGACCTCACCGCTGAATCTTTCATAGGAGCCTTTCATAGATTTGTTGCTAGAAGAGGCAAATGTTCGCATATATGGAGTGATCAGGGAAGGAATTTCGTAGGAGCAAATAAAGATTTAGCAGACGCCTGGAAGCAGGCACGTTTAGAAATCCCTGGCTATCTGATAGACACATTAGCTCTCGACGGAACTCAGTGGCATTTCATACCTCCTCATAGCCCCAACTTCGGTGGCTTGTGGGAAGCCGGCGTAAAATCTACGAAATACCACCTTAGAAGAATTATGACGAGAAACTTAACACAAGAAGAAATGACGACAGTGTTATGTCAGATAGAGGCATGCCTTAACTCCCGCCCTTTGGTACCTATCGACACTGAAGACGTAGACGTCATAGACCCATTAACACCGGGTCACTTTTTAATTGGTGAAGCTCCCATATTGCCACCAAGTCCAGACTTACGTGACATCAACGCAAGTAAACTCACACGATGGCAATTTACTCAGAAAATAGTAAGAGATTTCTGGCAACGTTGGCATACAGAATATTTGTCACGACTCCAAGAAAGGACAAAATGGATAAAACGTGAGTCAGAGTATGAAATAGGTGATATAGTTCTCCTCAAAGATGACAACTTGCCACCAGGGAAGTGGCTACTCGGTCGGATTATGGAGAAGTACCCAGGACCGGATGGTATAGCCCGAGTATATGGTGTTAAATGTGGCACGAATATATTAAAACGCTCAATTTCCAAATTGTGTGCTTTGCCCATTGAATCTAAATAAATGTATATCGCAATTAGCAATTAATATCTCAATGTAAAAAAAAAAAGTTAATCTTAAGTTCTATGTATTTTTCGATTTATAAGTCATACTTTATTGCTCTCATCATGTTTAATTTATTCATAAGATAGTGAATAATGATAAGACACACTTTATTGTTTACATTATGTTTAAATTTTTTATAAGATAGTGATAAGTCATACTTTATTGTTTACAATACGTTTAATTTTTATTTTTAATACAGTGATAAGTCCTTCTATATTGTTTAATGATAATGGTATTATATTTTGATACTATGTTAAGTGCATTACCTTTGTTAGCCTCTGAAATTTGTAAAATAGTATTAACAATTTTACTTGTAAATTTAATGTTTATAACTTCTTTATAAAGGACAGTCGTCCTTTGGTGGGCGGTATGTCTGTGGCATAGAATTCAATTTAGCGTACGCATGTCTTAGAAGTGAATGTCTTAGGATGTTATACCCATATTATCATTTGTGCACATTATTATAGACAGTTGCAAATAAAACGCATTCAAGAGAGGACGTATTTCATTACTCTATTTAAACCCCAATCAAAAAACAACTCTATTACAAGTACACTAACTATAGAATAGGGCCTAGACTAAGTGAAAACCTGCTGAGAGATACAGGAAGGCGATGGATGCAGGTGGCTCAGGTCGATGCTTAGTGGCATTTTGAGGTAAGCCTGTGTTCGGCCGTGGACTTGTGCTCTGCTCTAAAGATGATGATCATTGTGATTGACTTTTAGAATAAAAACTGATACAGGCTTTAAAGAACCTACGATTGTCTTAAAAGGTTGACAAAAAAGTAAAAAATATATAGTGTAACTATAAACCCTATCGGTCACTAGAAGTCATTTTTAATAAGCACAGTTACCTACATGCAGGTGAAGTTGAATAAGGAGAAGTTGTTACATCCACGTTAAGCCCCTAAGGCAGTCGACTTACGTAGATTATATTATGATAGTAAGTTTTATCTGATGCTACAAAATTATGCATAGAGTCAAACAAAAGTCAAACGCAAAAAGTTTTTTATTTACACTAGCATTTTCAATAAAACCGAGGACGGTTTAGATGCAGTATCGGAGATATTCTTAACGAAATTCCTAATTGTGCGGCATAACAGAAAGCAATATCGGCGTGACCTATAAATGTAAGAAATATGACTGACCACACGGATTCTCTTAATTGGATATTAAAAAAAATTACGACGGAATGATTGGTTAGTAAAAAAAAAACATTTATTTAGGAATCCATGTTTTCTTTAAGCTTGCCATAATTTCATTTGTAAATAAAAGTAATTTTATTATTTGTCAGTTTTTGCATTTTTGTACGAAATTATTTCATTTTGTACATCACTTTTGATTAATTTAATACAAAGTAGCTTTCTTGGCAGTTTTAAAGATTAATTTAGTCTACAATGCTCTCCCTTGTTTCACGCTCCTGCTATTGTCTGAAGACAGAGTGTCATAAAATAGACGATTCATGCCCTGGTTAAAGGCGGCACTTGAAACCAATTATACTTTTAACTGAGTCTGTCGAGCCGAAGGACCAAAATAAATGATGTGGCCGGTTCACATTGGTGCATTTTTGCCCTTTCTCATTCATAATTATCTGTTTTAATTAATCGCAAACAAATTAGAACGGTCGCTTTTGTGAATACGCAAATTGGGTAAACATGAGAAACGGATCGCGAAATTTATTGTAACGTGAAAAAGATTACACCCTACTGTAATTACGTTTACTTTATCGAGTTTCGATGAAAGCTAACGCTTGTTTTTCCTAAGCTCTTTTTAATTTGTGTTGTTGGAATAACATTAATATTTTTGTTCAAAGAAAGGATAATAAAGGAAATGAAAGTAACAGAATGTATAATTTAATATATAGTTTTTATATTAAGTTTATGTTTAATGGATTTTGATGGTAGAATGATTCCATTCTCTTATTTTTATTTCTATTATCCACCATGCCTGATTTAGCCGGTTATTCATTAGTATATCCGTATATATAAAAAAGTAACCCAGAGTAAAGTTGCAGCCTATTTACGTCCCACTGCTGGGCACAGGCCTCCTCTCATTTCTGAGAGGGTTTTAGGGCAAGGAAATGTCCGCCGCGCTGCACCAATGCGTTGGCGAACTTCACATGTCTTCGAAATATATTTTTCTTATTTCTCAGACATGCAGATTTCCTCACGATGTTTTCCTTCACCGCCGAGCACGTGGTAAATCAGCACTTAAAATTGCAATTAACAATTTCATTGGTGCCAGCGGGGATCGAACCCGGGTTGCTCGAGTACTGTGAAGCTTACAGCGAGCGCTAATCATCTAAGCTACCACGGCTCCGTATATCTACACTTACTTACTATTATAAAGAGAAAAGATTTGTTTATTTATTTGTTTGAATTAAATAGGCTCCGAAACTACTCGACCGATTTGAAAAATTCTTTCACCATTAGAATCCTACATTATCCCTGATGAACATAGGCTATATAATATTTTCAAAGAAGTTATGGATCCGTATGAAATTTCGTTAATGTAAGCCAAGGTGTGAAAAAAATACCAAAAAGAATCCTTATATACGCGATATACGCTGCGGAAACTATTGATAATAGAGCAAAGTAATGTACTTCAGTTTTATAGAGGATATCAATATCTACAAAAAAGTCTGCGATACCATATGTTTAACTGTTACAGTTATGTCACAATAACTACTTTTTCATTTTAAAATGTGAAATAGTAACGCCGGTACAAACTAGGCCACATTATTCGTATTAGTACCTGTATCATGGATAACAACCAATTACGTTAACCATGTAATTTTAGTAACATATTTCACTTTTTAAATCTTTGTTAATTCAGCAACCGTTCGTCGTGATGTCTCTCTCGAAGTTCGCATGTCGCAAGGCGCAAACGCATGATATACGCGGGTGAACAGCTAGTATAAATATATATTAAATTACTTAAAGGTACAAATTTCTTTTTAAAATACTTAAATGTTGTGGAATAAAGTCAATAAATGGGTACAAAACATATTTACAAAAGTTACTTTAAATTCAAAGTATGGCTAGCAAAATGGATTACTCAATCAACGTCAATCCGGTCGTTTCGGACGTGGATTTAACAAGTCTCGCCCGTGTTAACCAGTTTCGTATTTACGTATACGGTATCCGTGTAAAGTGAAGTTCGGATATCAGCCCGTGTGGCCCACGCTTCGGTCAGAAAAAAGCTTGTCACTACAATGAATGTACTCCACAAATCACCGGTTCGGTTGTCGAGGGCATTTTTTGTCGTTTCGTTCATTTCGCTGCGGAATTGAGTTTGGTCGCACTCGAAAATTTGACCCATAGGTTTACGCGGTGGACATGTTGGTAAAAATCTGTACAAAAAAACAAACGAATTTATCTCAATAAATCTGGAAAATAACGTAAAGTCCGAATATTCTATGTGACTATTTTAGTATTATTAATAATACCTATGTAAAAAGTAATGAAAGAAATTATACTGACTACAAACAAATAATAAAAGTAAATGATTAAGCCATGGCTAGCTATAATTACAATGTCCTTGAGAACGAATTTCGGTCATCTGTGTAAGACAAGATTATATTTTATGAATGTGTGTGTGTGCAAACACAGCTGCACTCTCTCTCTTTCTTCATTCTCATAGTCCGAATATACGGACATCTGACACAACCGGATAAAGTTGCAGGTGCAGGACCAACGGCTTTACGTGCTTTCCGAGGCACGGGGGTGAAACACCGACAAATTCCTTTCTCAACAACTGAAAAACTCTAATCAGTTCTCGTTTATTATAAGACCATGTGGTTTTGTAGCGCTAAGGATGGTAAATGTTTTGAATTAGATTAATAAAAGCCTATTTACTTTTACATTGAAGACTCTCTATATGCAATGGTGAAATCTATAGAGCAGCCACTATATGTGGTAGAGCCACTTTGATCTGTTATATTTGCAGCATGAATTAATCGGGGAGGGACCACGTTCTCGAGTAAGTAAAAAGTAGGAGAATTTTTTACGGTAAATGAGCCATTCTGTCAAAATCTTCAGGGTGACAACGTTTCTGCATTCTGCCTATTAGACTAGATACTAGACCTACAAAATAGACTATAGTAATAGGCAGAATGCAGAACAATTAACGGCTCCGTGGCTTAGCAATGAATTGATGCGCTGGTGGCCGCGGGTTCGAATCCCGCACGGAACAAGTATTTGTATGGCCTACAAATAATTGTTCCGGGTCTGGATGTTTGTCCTCGTGCAATCTATGTTTGTAAACTGCCTCCGCGTTGCAGGAGAAAATCCTAGTGTGGGGGTAATTTTTTTTTAATAAAGAGATAAAAATATAAAGAACAATCTAATGTCAGATAGCGGAGGCGCTGCATCACGTTCAGACTGAAAAACATTTGCTAAGCTAAGTCAGTGCGCTTTACCATCTTTCACTGCATCATCACTCACCATCAAATCGGATAGTAGTCAAGCCTAGTGCTAAGAATGTCTATTTCGAACCCATTAGTAATGGCTTTTTTATTTTGGTTTAATAAGAAACCGTAATTGACAATTAAAAAGCAACCGTGTAGTGGCTGGTTTTGAAAATTATCCAGTACCCCATATAATCCCTTGGGAAACTAAAACTGATGGGCAGCAGCACCTTCTTGATAACAGCTCAAAATATAAAAAAACTGCAGTTGCCAACCCGCCTGCCTAGCGTAGCAACTATGGCAAAATCCGCCCTATCAGGCAGTCTAAGGCCCCCTTAAGATTGCCTCATATATTCAACAGTAAATTTTTTAGGCTGAATGAATAGAATTGACGGTTAAAATAACAGCAATATTAATGCAATATTAATATTGCAAATAACGCTAATAGGTAAGTAAGTTTAATAATTTAACAATGATTAAATATATTTTTATAAGATATAGTATATACCAGTACATTACTTAATCTTCTCGAAACTTCAAATTTTATTACG